CCTCGAGCTGAACCCGCTTCTCCCGCTCTACCCGTATCGCCCGCTTCAACTCCTAAACCGTGTCCTCCCATCCCCTTCCTATTCTCCTAAAACCAAGTTCTACCTCTCGCAACTCCGGCTGGTAAAGTTGCTCTTTTCGGCTTCTGCTACAGTTTTGAACTCCGTCTCCATCATGTAGCACCAACGGCCACACTTCTCACATTCTGCATTGGGTCCTCCTTTTACCTTAGGCTGCGGATCCTTCTTCCGTCGCATATATACCATTGCCCACCGACACACAGCGCGACACCACGACAGATATCCCTCCAAAACCAAGAAAGCCTGGGTACGTCTCTGCCCACATAACCAACTATCCCGACAAAAGTTTCAAACGTGGAAGTGGTTCGGTCTCGTGACCCTACCTAAAAAGCCTGCTGTAACCCAACTATCCTATCGCTACTTTAAAACTCCTTTCTGCTGCCTTATAAAACCACCAGAGTTAGAGCAAAAATGCTTTACAGCAGTGCGCTAAATCTGGAGGATCAGCCCCAATGGGGTGTGCCTCTTGCCTTTAGCGCGCAACACCACCAATGAAGCAGATCCAACAAGCAAGCCTATCCTATCGCAACTTTAAAAACTGCTTTCGTCTACCCCATAAACACGTCCGCAACTAAAATAAATACACCAAAAATCACTTAGCTTCGCAGGAGTTCTGGAAAACACGTCCTCTTTGTCAGCTGACGAGCAGCTAACTGGTGAGACATATCGATGCCTATTTCTGAGCACAGAAGGGGAAGCTATGGTGATGGCACACTCATTCCTGTTTTCTTTTTCATGTCTTGTGTTGAAGTGGAGCCAAAGGTGTTTTCTTTCACATCGCTCGGCTGCCCGAGACTGCACATATTTAATCAAATCATGGGGGTGCACCCCTATTGAAAATTCCATCAAGATACGTAATTTGGGACACTGACTGCCAGTCAGCAGCCTTGGTGGAACGTGATGGACCATCAGACGTCATCTGATGGTCCATCAGATGACGTCTGACTGCCGCTGCCAAGGGAATTTCATCAACAAGGGCAGCATTTATATAAGAGTCTCATAAGTATCGCCAAATGCCTCAATAAAAGAAAATGTTCGAGAAAAAAAAAAAAGCAGAACCACCACTGATCGAACCCGCGACCACTTGAGTACAGGACACCTTAACCGCTATGCTATGCTATTGCTTAGGAAACTCGATTTGACCATTCGTTTTATACGAGATGCTTCGGCTGCAAATGCAGTTAAGCCTTCACCATGTTATGCAAAGCGCTCGTACATCACTCGCCGTACTTCAGTTCTACTCACCTGCCATGTAGAGTACTTTCGCGCCGTAGAACGATCCTTTTGTTCGCGCGTCTCCGGCCCAGTAGACCTGGTACACATTGTCGTCTTCAACTACACCGCTAAAGTCCCTTACATCGTCGGAACTCACAACAGGCTGGGTCTTGTCGAGTAGAAATTCTACTAAAACATAAGACATTGTAGAGCCCGGGCAGGATCGACAGGATGGAGAAAGCGGGCAAACAAAACGAGTAGAGAGCGATCGTTCATGAAAGCTCGGCGAAGCCTCTATGGCCGAAGCGAAGTCAGCGAACTGGCGTGTACGGCGGGCTTCTGATCAAGGTTGTCGGTCGGCTGCGTGTCGTATCTCTAACATCAGCGGTTTTATGGGCTCACGTCCCGAAATCGTTTTCTTTTGCATAGATTATTTTTCGTATTCATAGATTCGACGAAATAGTGGTATTCAAAGGAACGTTAAGGCCCTTGACCGTACGTCTGTCTGCACGTCAAAGCTTTTTGACGTACAGTCAGAGCCAATCGATGTACAATCAGAATCGCCATCAAGATATCTTGATGGCATTTTGCGGCGGCCGACTGCCACCAGGAAACCAGCAGAAAGCCGACAAGTGGAGTCTGACTGGAGTTTGACTGTCGGTCAGAGTAACTTGTTGGCCAATCAGACATGCTTGACGTACAGTCAGGCACAGTCAGCGGTCCACTAGAGAACATTGACTGCCAAACAGGGTTACATTGATGGATTTTTCCTTCGGTACAGCACTATACTTCCTTCGTACTTTGCGATGTTGAATTTAAAAATTCTCAAATGGTTCAATAAAGGGTACGTAAAATATTATATATGTGAAAAGCCAAGCTTTCACGAAGCAGTTTTTTTTTATCATTATTACTATATGATGTGTACAGCAATAATGAACCTCCTTTCTTAATGCATATTCCAAAGCTGAAATTCCTTATCTTAAAGAGGCGTTCGGGAGCTTTCTAAGATGGCCTATTTATGGCCGTAACAAAATCTGTGTGCTCTAATCATCCCAAAAATTTAAAGTTAAATCATGTGCACCCTATTTCACTAATAAACATGTGATAAAAGATGGTGAATCTCAGATGTACAAATGGGGTCACTGAACCCTGCCGAATATAGGCGAGCAAAGAACGGGGCTTATCAGAGAATCACAAGCGATGGCTTCACGTCCGGACAAGCAGCCGCCCAGTCCTGCTCGTCTGCACGGGAAGCCCTCGCTTTCAATTGACTGACTAGTGTCCTTCGCTGTTTCACCCTATTCGCCTTGATTAGGTTCAACCACATTCGCTATCTTTTATCACATTTTTAATAGTGACTTAAGCCGCACACGATTGTAAGTTTTGGACTTCGGGGATGCTTAGAGCACATAGGTTGAGTTAGGAACATAAATATTCCATCTTGGAATACTAGAGAGTGCCCCTTTATTTAATTTCATTTTTTTTTATTTATGTTTATGTACAATTCAGCATTTCAGTCAAACGAAGCAGGAACATGATTGCAGAAGGAAGTGTAGAGCTCCTTTGTGTTGCCTGTATTTCTCCAGTTTTTGTGCATTTGCTGGACAGTGTTACTCAGTGCAGTATCATCTTGAACCTGGCAGCAAAATGCGAGAGGTAGCAATTACACAGGCCGTGGAAAAGGCTGCCAACCCTTGCCGCTTTGTCAGAATGGTCAGCCGATCACTATGGGAGCCTGCGGAGCTCTTCGACACGGGTGTGTCAGGGCAAGCCTGCAGGCGTCTCCTCTAGGAGGGTGTGGTGGGAAAGAAGCCCTACCACACGAAAAAATTCACGCTCTCACAGGTGGGTAATTCTGATCAACGTAGAAGGGCACAGCATCTGTTGTGGTTGTGCTGTGCTTAGCTCTGAACAAAATGTGTGTATAGTGTGAGTTATGGTTGACTACGATTTGAGATACTTTGTGAACCTATTGTTGATTTTGACTTATGGAGCACACGTGTACAGTTAGAGGCACTATAGGTCAGACAAGGTGAATGCGGGCAGACCAGGAGAAATGCCGCTTGGGGTGCAGCGCTTTCGTTTCACACTGGGAGCGAGGCCACGATGTTCGATCTACAGTCAAACCCGATATTATCGAACCCGGTTAATTCAAACTATTTGTAAATGGACTGGTAGCTGCAATAAAAATGCAATTGCATCGAAAAAAAATTGGAATGTCTCCCCATAGACCGATCTGCCAAGGGCACTGCTCAACTCTGCAATGTTGCTTTCCCCAGCATAGGCATTTTTTCTCGGGGAAAGGCAACTTAGAGAGAAAGCTCACTTTTTTATATTTTGGGTGGCCCCGTCGACCTCCCAGAAGAAGGAAAAAAGAAATCACTTTTGCGGGGGGAGACGGTGAGCCGGTAAACGAAGAAGCGGCCACTAATAGCTGCGGTCAGCGTCCCTCATGACGTACAGATGCCCCTTCGAGAGTAAGCTACATTTCTATATGTGGCGCGCTTGTTCGTTGTTAAATTCAATAAAACTTTTATAGAGAATTGCCCGGTATATCGAAATGTTAGACGGTGTTCTTTCAGAGTTCAATATTGTCGGGTTTCACTGTATTATGTTGCCCACAGGTAGGGCAAAGCAGATTGAACGCGGGAGGGCGGGCCGGGCGATAAATTGACTGATTATCGGGCTGTTCACGACAGAACTTCCTTGTTTACTGTTGTAGTTGGGATTTTATTATTTTAAGGTTTTTTATGAATAACTGCTCGTGTATTTCTTTTTATGCACTGGAGGTTTTATCATGCAATAACAACTTCCCCAAGCCATCACTGTAGCCATCCAGATGTGCTGGCAAAAACGGCATGGAAGAAAAGAGCCATGGACAGCCCTGTCTGCAAGGGAATGTGTGCGAGTGCTGCGTGTTGGGAAAATAATAATATAGTCAGTTTCATTCTCCCAAGTAGCACAACACGCCGGGTTGAGGATGGGGCGGTATCGGCCTGCCGGGATACCGACACCGGCCAGTACCGGAAACGCCCCAAGGGGCGACATTGGCCGGGCCCAATACCGGAATCCGGCGGGTACCGGGAACTTATTGGGAAACCGAGATGTCGGGAATACGGGATGTTCCCAGTGAGCTCCCGACACAGATCCCCGGCATGGAACCGGTGGAACGGCAGGAAACCATTAGTGTGCCAACGTGTTTCCGGGTCAGAGCCAGTCCAATTGCGGATTAGTCCCAGCGTAATAACAGATCAGTGCCGGCGTAATTGCGGGTCAGTGCCAGCGCCATTGCGGATCAGCGCCAGCGTATTTGTCATTCAGTGTACCTAGCATAGAACCACTAGAATGCTATAGCTGTGTCAGGCCTTAAAACCCAAGTATGGCATCGTACTGCATTAACATTTTGAAAAGATAGCTTCTCAGTAGATCAAATTCACTTAAGTATGAAAATGGTAAATTTCTCAGTTAGAACTGTTTTATGGTTTTTCAGATCTTTTACAGGTACTGACCGTTTTTAATATGTTTTTTGTACTTCAACCGAAAGAAGTCAATTTAGTATTTGTCTAATTTTAAGAAACCATTATGTGTGAACAATTGACAACAATTTCAACAAGATATGGCTATGTTGTTGAAACGACACCCCAGATGCATGCATAGGGGTGAGTAGTACAAGGAAACATACAAATTTTTTACCATGACGTTGTTCTTTATTGAGATTCAACCATAGCAGCTGGCTGCTCAGCTGAAGCCGTTCCCTCATCGTCCGAGAGGGTTGGAGGCACCGAGGAAGTCTTCTTGAATCTGTTGGCCCTGCCCCCCTCCCTATCGGACGCACCCGATAGGAAGCGGCTCAGCCGCTTTTCTACCGCGTCCAGGCTGCACCCTTCAGTGCGACTTTTTATGGCACCTGTAAAAAGAATTGTCCGATCACACAGATTAGTTGAGGAATAGGGGAAGCCAATGTCTTTCACACTGGCTGCTGCTTACAAACTGCACTTTGTGAGTGTTTCCTTCGTGTAAATAGTAGGACACACACCAGCCTGCAATCCAGAGGTGACACAAGACCACCACGGAGGTGGAGATTCTGGCTTCGGTTACCACGCTGAGCTGCCGATTCTATGGAGGCATACTGCTCTTTTATGCAACATTCTATTAATCTGAAATCGGGGATAGGTGCAGAGAGGAGTTGTCTAAAACAGAGCAAAACTTCCCCGACACCCTACAGACCAGGGCATCTAAATGGTCTTCATTAGATTTTCAACCTGTAAACTAACAAGACATGACCGACAAAGAAAACCTTTTTAGTTACTTTAAAGTGCTCCTTTTGAGTATGAAGGTTCCAAGAATGCCAACACTGGAGTTATAAGAGAAAATGCAAGTCGAATTAAACTGTCAACTTAACTGTCAACATATTTCAAAGCTCTCGCTTGTAGTGCTCCAATTGTATTATCATTATAACCACCAATTAAATAGCTAGTAATGAATATCCATTACCAATGACCACCTTGCACATTGTGGTGTCCTTGAATCGCGATTTTCCTCGGTAGCCCAGGAGGGAGAACAGCTCCTGGACTTGTTTTGAGAGCAGGCGCCCCACCATCTCTCGTACCACTTTTTGCAGTGTCTTCCCGTCTCCTAAAGACAGGAGCTGCTCCTCCTAGAAAGACAAAATGTGTTCTCAACATGTCAATAAAGTTATTGACACGCAGACACACTAGTATGAATATGTCTTAACTAAGAGGATGTGCATGGCCAGGTACATGCAGCAAACCACATTACGTGCATAAAAAATTGACAAATTTACTGAAGAGCGAATTAAAAATATTCGAATGTGGCCTGTACCCGTCTTAAAGCAAACCAGAAAATTTAGAACATTTCCCTGCATATACTCTACTAAAGCTTATCCATCAGACACATGCATCGTTGTTCAAATCGTGGAAACTTTTAGATGGATCATCTTTACTCAATGTCTCGTCAGAATCTGTTCAGCAATTCTAATAATGTATGTAATTCTCAAAACAATGCATTTAAAATCCTACATATCCTAAATTTGTTAAAGATATATGTCCGCCGGCTAGTCACCCCGTGCATTTTGCGCCCACTTATTTACTTTACTAAGACTTAAATGGAGAGAGGCATAAAAAAGCGGGACTTGACCAAAGCCGTCTGCATAGTCGCACAAAATAATGACAACCGCACAGTGTGAGTACTTTTGTTTTCATAATTTTGTTTTGCGCTCACTCAGTTACGGCACTCCTCAGCTCAAGCCCGTCAATGTAATGATTCAACTTGCTCAGCTTGCGCTTGTGTGACTACCGTACACTACTATGCATGGGGACATAGCTACGCATGCACTCACATCCCCTGAATGAAGTGGCAGATGCAATGACAATTACTCTTTGACTTTGCAAACTTCATTTGCTGCCATAGGATGACATTTGGTTAGGATACTTCAACACCTCATTTTGGAAATGCACTACAATATGCAAAGTAAATATTGCATTGGTGAAAATTTATCCGGCAATCATTTGCAAATTTGTTTGGGCATACACATATACTGGTGGGCACGCTTAAAAACCTTTTAGAGTAGGCTAAAAGTTGTAACTTCACTTCTGCAGCAGATGCTAAAAGTACAAATGAATTTATTGCCTTAAACATATAGATATCGACTATAGAACAGGGGTAGGACCAAAAGAAGGCCAATATATACTACAGCATCTTTCTTAGCCAAGCAAGCATTAAACACAAAAAGCATGCAGGTGGGCTCGTGCGTGCTCTGCACACAGACCCACGGCGAGTTGTTGTTGGACGTGCGGAGTTTAATCTTGAAGGATAAAATGGGCAGAGGTGTCATAGGAAATTAACATGGTTCATGATTATTTGCAGGCTGACATATTTTAAGCACCCAAATGCGGGCAGTTTCAGTTTCCCCCAAATGGGCGGGTGATTTCACTTTCCCCCTTGTGAAATATTTTACTTGAAACAATTCCTCACGCTTGCCACGAGACCTGACATACCCTTTATCTTATCTCAATGGCTTGCCGCAACATAAATGCATCCCGACAGCGCGGCTGAACACGACCGAGGGCGACAGAATTATGCCATACGGTGATACGGATAAGTGGAGAGCAAATATCGGGGATGTGGACACGTGCCGCTACGAGCTCGGGCAATGGCTAGAGCCACCTAGCGATATATGTCCATAGAAACGTGGCATTACAGTCGGCGCACCTCAAAGACAAGGGGTGCAGGGGCAGATTTAGGTGGGGGGGGGGGGGGGGGGGTCCGGATGTCCTGACCCCCCTCTTAATTTCTGCATGTGTAAAATTTAGGGCGTAAAACGAAGGAGAGGGGGAGGGGGTTCGTAAACATATGGTATGCTGACGAACACCTGAACCCCCCCCCCCCCCCCTCAGGAAATTCCTGCATCCGCCCCTGAGGGGGTCCGGCGGATATGCGAATAATTTCTGTAAACCTTTTTTTCAGTGCTTTGTCTTCAATACTGGGGTGCGCCCTTACACGCGATTATACAGTATACGCAGGCCAGTAAGGCTGACTTGTAAAACGTGCAATTGGCGTTACATGACCTTGACACAAGTCAATCGCACGATTCAGGTTAAGAGTGCCCCTAACAACAGCCTTCCCTCGTGCATTGGCTGTGCGTTCACCTGTTTGAAAATATTACGGTAAAAGGCTTCAGTCAACATTTCAACCTATCTGCATACCTTCAGATAACCCGAGTTAAATCACAAAGTAAGAATCGCAGCCCTATATCTTTCAATACTGTGAAAAAGAGGATACAAATACCAGCAGTGTCCTGTCGGCGGGGTTCTTTAGCCGCGCCTCCGCAGCACGAAACTGCTCCATGTCGCAAATGGGCATCAGGAACAGCTCGGGTGGTTCGGGCCTGGCCATTTCCTGGGGTGTCGCCCGTTCCCCAAACCTCGGCTGCTCTTCTTGGTGCTTTAATGACACAACGTGCCTGAGCACCTGTGCCACAGAGACTTGCGTCTCCCTCATCTGCTGCTGCAGCTGCTCATTTTGAATCCGTAGGTCAAGCACGACCTTGAGCAGCTGAGCCTCGAAGCCTGCAAAATAAGCGAGGCATAAGAAAGCATTAACCATATTGCTGACGAACATTATGCACTGATGATGGGGAGAAACTTGTTCTGAAACATGGGTTTTGGGAAGTTTCAGAAGAGTGCCCACACCTTTAGGTGTTTTGGATGGGTTTGGAGAGCTTTGAATTGGTTGCCAGACAGAGTAAGTGTGTTCAATGCTTTGTAAAAATTTAAGAGATGTTATAAACTGTATGCAATGTTCAAAAGTATAATATAAACATTAGCTTTAATTAAATAATCTTTCTCAAAGAAAGACACAGCCTCAATTTACCGAATTTATGGCCAAAAAAAGGTGTTTTTTTAGAACTTCACAGTTTTGGCACGTATGGTCAATAATTAATGCTCCCCACAAAGTTTTATAATGTGTGTTGACAAACAAAGCAAAAAAAAAAATTGATATGTCGCCAACACATGCAAGACGCGCTGCATTTGGTTGAGCGGAGGAGAGCTGCGATAAGCACCAGTTTCAAAATCTGATCGCTCCATGGCTACTAGGCCCGAAAGCCCGGGAAATGGCGATTTCTCAAACTTCTGGGACAGTTTTTTTTTTTTTTTCTTTCTCAGTTGTTTGAGAATGGGAAAGAACCTCAGTAAGAACACTTGTACCAGGATAAAAAACGAAACTCGGGCTGCGAGTAGCTGCTTTGTGGTCATGTGATACTTTGTGCCTAGGCGACGCTTCAGAGCATGTTTCCTCGCTGATCTGTGCACTTATAGCTCCGCTTTTTTCTCCAAATTCTCTTGCCCATTTTTATTAGAAAATGCTCCCTAACTAAAGCTCCTTTGCGTGAAAGCTTTGGTAAACGCTCTCGTTTTACGAAACTAAGCGGTTGAGTTTCCTTAAAGGGGTACTAAGAGGAATCTACAATCGCCCGTTCTTAGTTGCAACTGATTCTACAGGCCCTAAGCACCCTAAAAATTCTAAAATGACAATCACGCGACGCCGATTTTCTTATTACAAACGCGATGAAAGGTCGGGACACACCACTTTCTGAGCTGATTTTTCTGCTCAGGAAAGGCAAGACATACCCCAGCAGCGGTGTCAGTGCGATGACGATGGGCACTCGACCGCAAATCACAAACCGCCTCTCTTGGAGAGGAAGGTTGCGAGTGGCCGACGAGCGCCCACTGTCACTCTGCTGACACCAGAGGTGTGCACTCCACATTTGGGAACTAATGTTTCACGAGTGCCGTGCGTCATGCTATGACATCAAGACCTGTGACACCAAGAAAACCTGCTATGGCTCTGGTGGTTGTGAATGGTGATCTGCTGTTTCTGGGCTCCTAGGACTACGACGGCCCCCCTGCCTCCATCCTTGGCTGCGCTTCTCGACACAATGCACTTTTCTTGTGTCAATAAGCTCCCCAGAAAATCTCGCAGGTTTATGCAACAGAAGCCGAGTTAAAGGAGCAGTTCACCATGCGACCATTTATCTCCAAGGTTCTATTTTCTTTTTTGTCGGGCTGGCCAGAGGATTGTTTGTGCATACAGGCAGTACAGGTTTGAAATTTTGTGTAGATTTCTCTTACCATTATAAACTCGAGGTAAAATATACCGCTATATATACTGAAATCAGAATTACAAGCGTTTGATTTTACAGCTGCTGTATCTACGTTATCTGCTGGCCATCGAAGTGGTTTGTTTTGTTATGTGCCGTCCCACTTCAGCTTGACACACTGTATTTACAGCTCAAAATAAAAACTTCTACAGCACGAAATATATCTGTTTTCATATGTGTCAAGGGAGGAGCACCAAGAGCGGTCAGTTGCGTGTGAGGTAAAATAAAGAGGCCCGTAGCCGCTCCTCTAGCCCCTAAACAATGTTAGTGCCCAAGTTTTGCGTTGCGGGTGGTCGCAACGTGCTGCATGCCACGTGTCTTGTTTCGCGCTTACCCACGCACCATGTACCGTGCGGCGGCCCGATATCGCTTTGGTCTTGGTCCTTAAGCGTCTACAGCTTTAATGATATATAATAAACATCCCTCCCCAAAGTCACTAACAGCAAAAGAATAGCAGGGAGTATCCCTACATTTTTGTCTCAGTACCCTCAAGATGCTCAGCAACATGGGAACAAGACCTTGGTGTGATCAAAAACGCGCATCTAATGTTGTGATTACTTACGAGTGGCAGTGTCCTTCGGTACCCCTGTCGACTCCCCGGTTCCGCCTGTCTCCAATGGCCTGTGCTCGGCTGTAAACAGATATATTAAATCGTGAGGCACTTATCTAAGAAAAATGGCGAAGGAGTGGGAAAGATTATACAATTATCTGCTAGATGCCGTGTACAAAAAAGTGTTCGCTATGTCTTCACACGCAAACAATGCACTTTTCACATGTGATGCCTGCATGAGATAAGCCCAGGGTGCACAGCTGTCAGTCCCCCACACCATTTCAGTTGATGGGACCTGAACGCACAAAGCCATTTGAAAAGCCACCTCCTATTAGCCGTGTTTCCCTACTTCAGGATAATTTTTGGTATTGAGAAAACAATGCAGTTATACTCAGTATCCTCTGAAAGGCCCACTCGCCAAATATTACAACATAAAAGGGCCAAAAACGTTTGAGCAGCCCCCAGTTGCCAAAATCTGATCGATCTAGCAGCCAACGTGCGGTGCAGTCAATGCCACTGTGTTGGTACAGCCAACACTGAGCGAAACGTCGCAAACAAGCAAGTTGTTTTGTTGGCTTTTTACTTTTCAAAGTGCTGCCGCTGTTGGCGATCGAGGAATACAGAAAAAGAGTGTGTGCAGGGGCGGAGAAGGTGTCCACAGGATCCGGATCACACATGTGCTATTGAGCCTGCCAATGCTCTCCGCATGTGCGAAAGTATGCCATACTGTCGGTTTTATGCATCATGCTACATTCTCATAGCAACATCTCTACATGTAGTCTACTAAAATGTACCTTTCGTTGACGCTCAGCAAACATTACTTATGTAAACTTTGCCCTTCTCTGAGTTGAACGCTTCAGCAGTGGCAATGCAGGTGTCGTCGGTGTAGCAGGGGCAGCAAATACGACAAAGCTGGCTTGCACCGTCGTCAAGTGGGCGACGTAGCTCTTCGTGCCACATGGGTGGATTAGCTTGCAAAGACACAGGACCAGTAATGCATGCCACAGGCAAAGCTTCCACTTTGGTTCGAGATTTTCGTTTAAAAGAGGGTTGTATGAAAACTATTCAACTTTTCAGGAAACAAATGACGCGGATCTATTTATAAGTACTTCTTTTATAATAATCACCCATAATCTCAAAATCTGCAGAATTAGACCCTTTTCAAAAGTCCCCCAGCAACATTGGCGGTCACCATTGCTTGCTCACGAAGCGCCTCATTGGATCTGAGTTCACGCCGAACGCCGACGCACAACTTTGTGTCCAATAAATGCTCATAGTATGGGAGCAAGCAATGACGGACAGGTTGTGGTGCGGACAGTTGAAAAGGGTCTATTGAACAGTGTTGCCCTTTAAGCAGCCACCATGCAAAACAAAGTATCCTTTTTTTTAACCGGTTTGATTCAGGTTCAAAATATGATAGCGAGACTCACATGTCAAAGACTCTGGGTGCTGCCTCCTTGGCTTTTTCCTCTTCGGTGCCTGGACTGATTTAAAAAATTTGAAGATACAGTAGTAAGAAATCAAATCTTAACATGCACTGAGATTGCGATTCATACTTTCTATGAATGACCTGAATGTGCATCTAATGCTACCAATGCTAGCATTTGGAATAGATTGAAAGCGAACATAACAGTGAAGGACAAATTTGCATCCGTTGCCTGCACTTGGCAGGGATCAAAAGGAAAGATAACTAAAGAAATCCTTGCATAGCATAGCTTGCTCATGTTGCTTCATCTTTCCAATTCTCAAGTTCATAGACGCAAAGATGCAAGATGCATGCCTCTAAATGCCCTCAAATACAGTATGGAGCAAAAAGTTAAATGATAATTACCTGGGGCGCGTGCTCCACCAAGACGACTTGGAACTGAAAGTAAAAATCTTGTTTGAGCACGGATAAAAAATATTACAAAATATGGTGATCTTTGGAAGTTTAAGACAGTATGATAACATTTTTTAAATTCTTGTATTTTTCCAAATATATGGTATATTTCCTATGGGATTCATATACCTAATGCATGCTGGAAAGTTCCAAAAGTGTGCCAGCCCCTGGTGAGCGAATAAAAATTTGAAATATGGGCTGGGTGAACTTACAAGAAAAAAAAGGGGACAATTTTGAAGAAAAACAAAGCAGTCTAAATGTTTGAAAGTGCTATGTGAGGGGTAGCCAGATTGACATGGCCTAAAAGCTGCAAACAAAACTGCTACACTTGAGAGAGCCACTAAAGCTGGGGAGGGGGGGGGGGCATCAAGAAACGATAACGAGGGATAGGCCCGTATCTTTATGGGATAAGTACCATTGTTGACACCAACGAAAGAATGTGAGGCAGAACATTTTTTTTAACCGCCAAGCAACTGCAGTCAATGCCCCTGACAACATTTATTTGTTGTGTTAAAAATCTTTTCGAGGTCGGTAAAGAGCATGGGTTTTAGACGTATATGTAAATCATAATCAGTTTAACTATATGCCTGGTAGCAAGGGGATTCCAAACTGCAATCTGTCATTTATTCTAAAGCCCTTTCCTTCTCTTTCTAATGCAGGGGGTGGGAGAAGAGGGTACACTTTCAGAAAAGGCGCGAGTCACACTTGGACTTCCGTGGAGCCACATATATTCGTGAGCCGCAGCTTGGCCACTCCAGTGCTATGTACCTGCATGGCACGAGAGCTGATACTGCTGGTCACAAGACGCATTGAAATCAGATTCTACCACGCAGTTTGATTGTTTCTCGACTTCAGGAATGCTATCACGAGCAATTACACTCGGGCCAAAAGGTCCAATGCACGCCCGGATCATTTGTTGGCACATCTATTCCAACAATAAATTTGCGCCAGTGGCCGAAACTCACGTGGGGTTGGTAAAACGACGCTCGTTTCCTCACCACTGGGAGGCCGCCGAGTGCCTCCAGATGTGCTGGCTGGTTCTGACGGTAAATCAAAACAAGAATGGTTGACACTACAATCAACTTGCCGATTCTTGTACTGAAGACAACTTTTAACAAAAGCAGGTTACCTTCGTCCGGCTCACCAGCATCTGTCGATTCAACACAGGACAGTCTTTCGGCGATAGTTGTTCTTTTTTTTGCCTTCCTGAAGGTCTCTGTAAAGAGAGGTAAGGACTGTAAGTACTCGCCCTTCAGCTATCCCCAGTAACCAAATGAAGTGCACTTGGACATTCCCCAAGCATAAGTGACAAACAGCTGAGCCCCGAGCATAAAAAACAAACAGCTGAAACATCACGGGTGCATTTATGCAACATGAGGTCTGGCATTTAAGTTTAGTGGATGAAGTATGTAGTGATGACTGCCAGTATCTTTCAATACGCTTCTGGTCACGAAACTTCCGCTGAAAGTTTACACAGGAACAGGGGCAGCCGCTAGAGGCACCACCGCAAGGCAAAGGGAGGCGTAGCGAGCCCCTGCTGATGCCGTTGATTTACAGCTGTAGTTGCGATACTTCCAACACACTAACATTTATTTCAGTACAACAATAATTTCACCATTCCCTTAGTACAACACCCTAACTCAAAGGGAAAAAAAATGGTGCCAACGTGAGCCTGCTGTTTTAGGAAATCTGAAGCCGAGAAATTATAGGAATCATAATGGTGAAGGGGACTGTTTCTTCAGCGTGCAACATGTGTAGGAGCCCCATGGTTGAACTGACCGGTACATAGTTTAATCACAGTTGAACCAACCAATGTGACTGGTACATAGTTGAACCATATGGTTGAACTAATGTACCAGTCCCAAGAGAAAACACCTCTTGTATCTGGTCATGCACTGCACAGCTACTCACACGCACCCCACGAGTCCAAATCTTGCGCTTACGTTTCCAAGAAGTATACTAGACTCAGCAGCACAACGCTCACTCCTAGTGAAAGTGTCAAAACTATCAGTTATTCACTTTCAAAAGCTGGAGGATTAAAATTAGTAGATGTGGTCAGCTCATGTCGGGAACTGTTACAACCTGCCTTTAGGCACCTCCCAAAATCTGACCAGGCGCGGCTTAATCCTGTCTACCAAGGAGGCTGATGTCACCATACCCACATCTCCAGTGAAAGGAGAGCACTTCGTGACCTTCTTTGCTCGGAAGGCTGCTCGGAGGGGCTTTGGCTCGGCATTGTCTATCTTTCCAAAGCCAGACCCACAAGCAGACATCTTCTTGGACGGCCTGTCTCTTCCTCGACACCCGTGACCTTCCCCATGAGCTTTGGAAGCAAGGACGGCGGCTTGCAGTTAGATTATCCCATTCAGCAGGCACGGGCTGATTAATAGTCGGAGTAGGCAGCTGACTAGGGCGGAAAAATTGTGGGGCAAGAAAATTTCAAATGTTTCTTTTTTTTTCTTTTTTTTTTTAGTGGAGGTTTTTGCGAGGCATTTAGTGCTCTCTGCGCGATGAAAGCATACTATGCATTTGTTTCTGTGAAATTAAACCCTGACTACAAAAGTAGAGAAAGGGAAGGACATCCCATGGGATGGACTACAAAGAATATCTTCCATTCTCAAGCGTCGCCATGAGTGTCTGTCTCACGGTTCCCATGGCAGCCAGCGCCGTCTTCATACATGAGAGCAGAGACAATGTTTTTCAGCGGTGTGCATGCTAGGCTTCGTCCCAGCCCCTGTAGCACAAACAGACACGAAACAACAATTAAAGCGAAGCATAGCACTTCCCTGCGCACACACGAGGTGGCCTCCAGTTTTGAAACGAAGGCGAAAGGGCTCCAAGGCAAAGATCGACCAGAGAGGCACTGAAACTGAACCTGACGGTAGCAGTGCCTCAGTGCTGCCAATTTGTTTTTTACGTTATCTCCAGAAGTGTAAACTCAATATAAACAACAGAGATAATATTATACATGCCAGAGGTTCAGCTAACACTAGCCTGCTGTCACAAATTAAAGCCCAGAGCAAACAGTCTGGACTTCTGCTAATGCATCTCTATGGGTAAAGGTGGGTGAATTTAAACTCCCAGCTCAAATATACAAACAAATCTGACAAAAACATCAAACTATGGAGATCTCAATCTCACGGAAGACCAAAATCTGACAATTGGCACAATATTTCAAAGTACAAACAGCACAGCACAGCACCAAAGAAAATTTGCTCAACAACAAGCCTCTAAGCTGTCTGTCGAAAATCTCCAGAGTACGCCAGGACTGCAGCCGTGCTTGGCAGCGTGCAATGCTTTCCGAGAGCATTACGGAAAAGTTTTGTGACTAGTAGCGTATTGAAGGACTCGGTCATTACTGTAATCTGCATTTAACAATATGAAGATTTTGGAGCTTGCTAAATTGAGAAACTGTAAACAAGCTGATGTGGGCAAGCATGCTAACAGAGAGAAGATCAAAAATGTGTGCTAGCACATTAGTAGTTGAGATGAAAAGGAGCAGTTCAAAATAATTCTTACTGCATTTCCGCAAAATCGATCCTCTGAATGAAGGCCAGCCAGGGTCTGGTGTTTGGCCCGCTTGTACACGGGACAGGATGTCCACGCCGGACATGTTGCTTGGCCACACGCATTGATTTGTCTTCACGTTGAACCACGAAAGAGGGACGGGCGCCACCGTAACTTCCTCATTATCTTCAATGAACTCTACCACGGCATACTTGTACTCCTCACTAGAATGAAAGGCATTGTCACACATGATGTTCATTCAAGTTACTTGACACTGTAACGTCTTTGCGATGCGACTAGATCGCATCGCAAAAAATTAGATGGTCACAGTGGCGTGCACGATGACAGAGTCCAACGCCTTCGTTGGCGAGTCTCTTCTTGAAAACTCTCGCCCTGAACGCCGTTGATTGGCTCAGCCCACTGATCTCAAAGACAATTGCTGGATCGCGCTTACCCGCTTGTTCGCTGCAGCGTGGGTGAAGCCACCGGACGGCAACCTTGCTGAGATACGATATGCGGTTTTGCTAGCCTTTTGCTGCGGTATTTCAGCGTGCTCTACAAACGTTTTCTAGTCGTTCGTCGTCATTCGCCGAAGAAGTTTTTTAAGACTCAGTGCATCGTTGAAACTAGCCATTGTGAACACATCCAAATTTTTACGAAAGCGCAGTACCACAGGAAAAGGCACAACTCGTCGAAAGCAAGGGTCTGGCAGCGTATTCAAAGCTTCCTTGGCACGCCGAAGTGCCGTGTCTCTGTGCCTTCGCACGCTTAGATACCAACCAAGAATCGACGCCATGTGGATATGTTTTGCGAGTGCAATGTGCGTGAAGCCATACGTATCTAAAGTTACAGCTCGTCGAAAGAAAGTGTCGCCGGTCTCGCGGCGTGATCAAAGCTTCCTTGGCACGCCGAGTGCTCCATCTTCGTGTCTTCGCACACTTGGATACCAATCAAGAATCGACACCGCACCAAAGTTCTGAACGTGCGTCGCACGTAGATGCCTTTAGATCATTTATATATATATCAGCCATGGAGTTCTGGATTGTCCAGCTGTTCCAGTGAGTTGATATCAATAAAGGGGGGGGGGGGAGATCTGTACTTGTTCTTATGTACTATTAACCATGGCAATGTTCCCAATCTACTCTAACGGATCACATGGGAGCACGAATTGAGCAAAGCTGTGGTGCAAGGAGGGTTTTCGAAGGCAAAAGTACAACATGGCGAGAATGAAAATCTTTGAAGCACGGCCTATATGGTCGTGCGCAATTTGTTGGCCAATCACAATTAGGCGAGCCGCGCTCAAACGTCAAGTGCAATTAAGTAGGTTGAAAATGAGCCAGCACTGATCAGTGATGAGGAGCTGTTTTGTACAGCATTCTCTAAATCGTCTAAGGACGAAAAAAAGATGTACCTTCCCCCTCTTCCGTCGCTACTGGACGCTGAAATAAGCTCGTTCCTTGACCGCGAGTGCCGCAAGTATAGAGTCGTCAGAGTAAAGTGAGACACTGATCCAGAGGCACATACGGCTTCACGCACATTGCACTCACAAAACACATTCACACGGCGTCGATTCTTGGTCGGTATCCAAGCGTGCGAAGGCAGACACACAGGTTTCGCGCGAGTTGCTCCCACCGGCGATGCGATCTAGTCGCGTGATAACTTTCATCGCAAAAGCGACCATCGCGGGCAAAAGGCGACGCGATTTGAGCAGTCGCTTCTCGACCCGAATTTTTTGCGATGCGACCTAGTCGCGGAGCGGCTGAGCCAATCAACGGCGTTCGGAGCGAGTTTTCGAGAAACGACTCGCCAAGGCACTGCGAAGTTGGCTCACTAGGCCTATGCACGACCAAACCGACAGAACAGCAACATCACAATCAAAGCACGGGCGGTTAACTTCGAGGTATTTTTGCCCCGCGTACGGTTACATGCAGCGCTTTCACTCGCCGCCACGGTCACATGAAAACTTTGATCCCTTTAGGCACTGTACCTGAACCATGCTACGAACCCGGCAACCCGACCGCCAACTTCGACTCGCTTGCCATTTTCGTTTGCTTAACTTTATTCGGCTTTGGATTGGATACTGAATCGGATTTGAAGCAGTCTATCAACAGCTATTGTAGTATGCGTAGTAGGCTGGATCTTGGATCGAGGCCCGTCATGGTAGTGTCGAGTGGCAACCACCTGCAACCATTACTTGACACCACCTACTGCATGGGACTCTAGTAGAGAAAAAAAAAAAGGGGGGGGGGCCCTTTTTTTTTTTGTTTTTCAGCCTTTGCTGGCAATGTAACTTTTCTTTACGGGGTGCGGTGCCGTCGGTGCCGAGAAGTGCTTCGATTGCAAACCGAAACTTAAAAACCGATCGAAGTTGCGCGGTTTTTTGGAAAGCCGTAAAACACCGCGCGTGCCTTCTATTTTTCTCCAATTTGTTGATTTAGTGTTTTTCGATGATGCTCAGCAAGATTCTAATTGAAACCATGCCCTTAAACTCAACATTAAAAAAAATAATTACGCGAAAAGAATTAACAATGTAATTATCTCGACCTTTAATAATTATCTTAAATAGGCCCCTGAACTAGGACCAAATCAGCACAAGCCTTTTTTTGTGGTGCGATGCGTATTTTTGGCAATATCGAATTTGTCCACCTTCCGTGAAACACCTTGTGTGTGTATATATATATATATATATATATATATATATATTTTTTTTTTTTTTTTTTTTTGTACAGAAGGATTACGCTGGTCGAGAAATGTAGTGCAGCTCAATTAGACAAGAGTTTTGGAGTGCTACCGCGGTGTCGGTCGCGGTTTCGATGTGACTGGTTTAGCAGAAGACAAGCTTGAACGCTTTGCGACGCGGAATTCGTCCACGTCTGGATAGCCACTGTCAACATGGAAGCTGTCAAACATTCAGTGGCATCTGAGGTTTATTGAGGACGCTCCTGTTGGTGCTCTCGCACATAGTTGTCTGCGAACTACGAATGAAGGGCAGCCCGACAAGCCTGATCCTCATCAGAACACGTTGGCATCGTGCCGCTGTATCGGTTTTCAGTGCCTTTTATACCCTATATTACGAATACACACAAAAAAAACAAAAAAAGAAACGTAGCGTCAAAATAGATTAAATACACGCGAAGATAGATTCTGATGATTGTCGGTCGTGCGGGTCAGTGCCTACGGAAATGGCGACAACGGGAAGGTAGGCCCAGGGAAGGAGCACGTATGCGCAGAAGCTTACTAGAAAAAGGTCAGGTTTGCATAAATCTTCTAACATCCGCAGTCAACCTCCGTGTTTAAGCCTCACAGTTTTTACGTTTCGCGTTTCAGGGTCCCATGCATTGAGTCATTCAGTGGTGTCAAGCAATGAACGCTGTTAGTGCCACCAGCGGGCTCCCGATCCGCGAATAAAGATATGTGATTTTAACGGCTGTTTAACTGGTACATTTAGCGCGCTGTTGGTGCGCAACCGAATAACATTGCAAGGCGAGGCTGGAGCGCCGTCGGACGACACGCTTGACGACTTACAGAATGCATAGAATAGTACTAAACACAGAATAGCTTATTCAAATACGGCCAGAGCCGTGAACGAAGTGAAACACATGAAATGCGACGGCGGAAAAAATTACCTTAGCCCTTATGAACAAAAATGAAGAAATGGTTACGCAATCTGTCAGGCAGCGCACTCACCTTGTCATAACAGCAGATCTGCCTCAAATCAACAAAGCGATCCTCCAAACTGGCAAGAAGCCTATCAACAAAAAAAAGTACACGGAAATACTGAAGATTGAACCGGACACGTGCAGACCGCCCAAAGAAACACACGCGGTGCTAGAAAACAATCAAGGAAGAACCGGGCGCCACCGGGATGCGACGGTATTGGACAGAGGGAGGGAGAGAGAAACGGAAAGAGAGAGAGATCCTAGAGACGCTGTTAGCCACCGCAACGCTGTGACGCGATCCGGAGTAGTTCTCCGCGCAGCCTTTTTCGGAGAAGTGCGATCTCTAGTCACTCGTACCATTTCAGTTTCGTTATGAACATTCATGAGGGGGAGTGAAGGAGCTTCGCAGCCTTTTTGTTTCGATTGCTAAATGGGCTCTCTCGCTGTGCTGCTTTCGTTCCTCTCGTCATGACCGACTCGCCTTATCATACTGCGGCGATGACATCTTTGCAGTTAATTTCAGGAGGTCTAACGAAACGCAGTGACAGCGAAATTAGCGGCAGCGACGAAGATACCAGCTTAGCTCCATTTCGAGTGACGACGAGGCAGCCGTTCTCGGCGACGTGTTTGCCGAGTCATTCACCTTGCCCCTGAAGAGGCCCAAAATATGGCGTTACGTCGAAGTCGTTGAACGCGCGTATTCAGATGAGAGCTATAGGTATCTCGTTTGTTGGTTGTGTGGTTTCTGTGATGTAATTGGAATAATTAGAAGGCAATACGCCAGATACTCCGTAGATAAAAGTCGCCTTCGGAGATGACGCTCGCTTTACGGCATACATGTTTAGTATTGCTTAATTACATCCTACGGCTCGTACAAGTACTTCTAGTTGTCTTGTGGGATTTCCCTTGCTGTTACCCGTCTCAGGGGATGACACAGCATACCGGTTCAACAAAATACTGCCGCGCCCAGGGCTGAGAAAGCAACGCTCGGTCACGGACCTCCAGAAAGTTCTCGTTTATTCATGTACCGCATGTAACTTCTATCATTTATTCCTCCTTTTGCTTTCTAGAAAGTGCGTGTTCATTCTCGCCCGATCACGCGACGCTCGAGCCGCTTTCGCCGAATCTTCGAGATAGCGACGCACTCTAGATAAGAGGCCGCCCGCGACCTTGTCGAGTCAGTCTCGCCCCAGCGCTCGATTCTGCTGACACGCCGACTTCGACGCCCGCGACGCTCTGCTTTCTTCTGTTTCCTTCTTTATTTTTGGCACAAGTTCGCCACATTAAACGTTTATTTATTTCTGTTTATTTCTTGTTTATTGGTCACGACTCACCACCCGTGACATTCTGGTGGAGGTGCGGGGTACCGCATGTCCGTGCAGCGCAGCCCTCCGAGTTCCCGCAGTGCAAGTCCAAACCCCATCTCCGGAGGACCCGACGAAGACCAGATCGAGACCCGGTCAAGTCGCCGCATCCGAGGTCTACCCCCGGAACACGGACTTCTGCCACCCACGACCAAGCCGAAGACAACGATGGCCAACCAGGCGCAGACCCCGGCCGCTTCTGCCGTTGTGTACCTGCCGATCGCACCCAGGACTCCAACGCCTTTCCACGGAGACGTCCACGAGGACGTTGAAGACTGGCTGCAACACTGCGAACGTGTAGCCCGCCACAACGGATGGACGACTGAACAATACCTCCACAATCTCTACTTCGCGATTGAAGGAACTGCGAGGCATTGGTTTGAAAACCACGAAGCGTCCTTCACTACGTGGGAGTCCTGCGCCGCGGAGTTGAAGCGAACGTTCCTCAACCACCACCGTCGGCAGCGAGCGGAGGACCTTCTCCAAACAAGGGTGCAGGGCCCCAACGAAAGCGTGACCAGCTTCGTAGAGGATGTCATGCGCCTATGTGCCCGAGCCGATCCGAAGGCAGCCGATGAGAAGAAGCTCCGCGTCCTCATGCGTGGCGTGAAGGCTGAAATTTTTGGGGGCCTTGTGCGCCATCCCCCGACAACCGTCGACGGTTTTGTGGCTGAAGCCACTAACATCGAGCGAGCGCTGTCGGCCCGAGCAAGCCATTACCATCGACTCGCCGGCGTGCCTGCTCCTCGAACCGCCGCATCTTGCCGACTAGACCTGAACGCCACCGGTGTCGACGGCCTTCGGGAAATCGTCCGCGACATCGTCCGGGAGGAGCTCCGGAAGCTGCTGCCTGCTGCCAACCAGCCGGCTGAGCTGTCGATCGCCGAAGTGGTGCGCGAAGAAGTCCAGCGGGCAATTCAACCGGAGGCTCCTGCCTGCGTAGCACCAACCGAAGAGCCCGCCCTGACCTACGCCGCAGTGGCCCGACGGCCACCGCCTCCTCGCCGCACCTATGTCACGCCGCCCCGACGTCAGTCTCCTGCGCCGCAGCACGACCGACGCCACGACGACCAGGTCCAGTACGCCTGCCCGGAGCCTCGCGCACCCCGCAAGACTGACCTGTGGCGAACGCCCGACCGACGCCCTCTGTGCTTCCATTGCGGGGAAGCGGACCACACCTACCGCCGATGCCCATACCGACGACTCGGGCTACGCGGGTTCCACCCGAACGACCCGCGCCCCCGTCATGGTGAACGCCCTATCGAGATCGACGAGTACCTGCGACGACCTCAGTCCCCCGAGCCTGCGTCCCCCCGAGAGTTCCGGTCGCCGTCACCGCGACGTCCAGCTTCGCCGATGCACCGATCGCGACGTGAAAGCCTGTCCCCCCTCGCTCCTCGCCGGGGAAACTAGGCGCGGCAACCCCTGGAGGTGGAGTTGCCGAAGACGACCGACGCCAAGATCCTCCACGAACGTCGGGGGGCCCCCACTCGAACGCAACCAGAGACCAAAACGACGCCGCTGCAGTGGTGTCCAATACCCTAAACGTCGTCATCGACGGCCACGACGCATCCGCGCTCGTGGACACCGGAGCAGACTGCTCAGTCTTGAGTGGGAGGCTCTCCCGCCGCCTTCGAAAAGTCATGAAGCCGTGGGATGGACCACGAATAAGAACCGCCGGAGGACACCTCATTACACCAGTCGGGAGATGCACCGCTCGCGTCGAGATTCACGGCGAAACATGCCCTGTGAAGTTCGTCGTTCTGCAAGACTGTTCGAGGGACGTCATTCTCGGAATGGACTTCCTGTGTGAATACGGCGCCATCATCGACCTTGCGGAGAACAAGCTGACGCTTCGGAAGCCTGCCCCATCGGTGGAAAATACCAAACCGACGTTAGCTGCAGTGCGAGTCCTCGCCAGCCACGTAAACCTGCCACCGCTGTCGAGTGTATTTGTGCCCGTCGGGACCGAAGGAGCCACCTGCGGTGTAGCACTGCTGGAAGGAAGCGTCCAACTTCTCCTCGGACGAGGGATTGGCATTGCAAGAGCCGTAACCGAGCTCCAGGACGGGCGTACAGTAGCCCTTGTCACCAATTTCCGGCAAGAGTCGCAGCACCTTACAAAGGGTACAACTGTGGGCTACGTCGAGGAAATCGAAGACTCAGCCGCGATCGCCGTGATCTCAGAAGACGCCTCTCCGACGCAGAACAAGACAATCACGTCCTCAGAGCTCGACATCGACCCATCCCTCCCAGCCCCACAACGACGACAACTTCGTGACCTTCTCGCCGAGTTCAGTGAGTGCTTCTCCACGTCGTCGAAAGTGCGCCAAACGACGGTTGCGAAACATCGGATAATTACTGATGACGACGCACTCCCTGTGCATCGGCCGCCGTACAGGGTCTCCGTGAAAGAAAGGGAAGCCATCCAGCAGCAGGTACAATAAATGCTTGACGACGACATTATCCAGCCCTCAAGCAGTCCGTGGGCTTCACCGGTAGTCCTGGTGAAAAAGAAAGACGGGACTCTTCGGTTCTGCGTGGACTATCGCCGACTGAACGCCATAACAAAAAAGGACGTCTACCCACTGCCACGCATCGACGACACCCTGGACCGACTACGCCACGCCCGATACTTTTCGTCGATGGACTTGAAGAGCGGGTACTGGCAGATTGAGGTCGACGAACGAGATCGTGAAAGACGGCCTTCGTCACGCCGGACGGACTGTATGAGTTTAAAGTAATGCCATTCGGGCTGTGCACAGCGCCGGCAACCTTCCAGCGCGTTATGGAAACCGTCCTTGCCGGCTTGAAATGGCAAAGCTGTCTCGTCTACCTCGACGATGTTGTGGTCTTCGCAAGCGAATTCGACGAGCACCTGAGACGACTGCGAGCCGTTCTACAGGCCTTCAAAGCTGCTGGGCTGACCCTCAAGCCTTCCAAGTGTCGGTTCGCCTATGGTGAGCTCAAATTGTTGGGCCACGTCGTGAGTGCTCAGGGTGTAAGCCCTGATCCCGCCAAGACGTCCGCTGTCGCCGAGTTCCCGAAGCCATCGGACAAGAAGACCGTTCGAAGATTCCTTGGCCTGTGCGCCTATTACAGACGTTTCATTCGTGATTTTGCGCAAATGTCTGCACCGCTGACGCATCTGACCAAAGACGACGTGCAGTTCCATTGGGGAGAGGAGCAAGAGCAAGCGTTCGACGAACTCAAGCGTAGGCTCCAGTCGCCCCCTATCCTCGGACATTTTGACCAGTCGGCGGAGACTGAAATCCACACGGACGCCAGCAATACCGGTCTCGGTGCGGTACTCGTTCAGCGACAAGAAGGGGCACAGAGAGTAATCGCTTACGCAAGCCGGGCGCTGTCTAAGGCAGAACAAATTTATTCAACGACCGACAAAGAATGTCTTGCTGTCGTCTGGGCGATAACCAAGTTCCGCCCGTACTTGTACGGGATCCCGTTTCGCGTGGTCACAGACCACCACGCCCTCTGCTGGCTCGCAAACCTCAAGGATCCGTCCGGACGCCTCGCCCGCTGGAGCCTTCGACTGCAGGAATTCGACGTAACCATTGTGCATAAGTCCGGCCACAAGCATAATGACGCTGACTGTTTGTCTAGGGCTCCAGTCGAACCTCCAATCTCCGGCGCGGACGACGATGACGACGCCCGTTTTCTAGGCGCAGTTGACGCTACCGACATGAGGGCACTGCAACGCGACGACGCGGAACTTAGCTCCGTGATCGAGAGCCTCGAAGGTCGAGGAGGCTCTGTCCCACGGGTCTTTTCTCGGGACCTACCGAGCTTTGTCCTGCGGCGAGGCGTGCTCTTCAGAA